CATGCCGGCCCGATTCTTTCAGAGAACCCTGAATGTTGCAGCAAGTGATCCCATCGGTGCTAGTGGGAAGCTAAATGAAGACTTGCAATAAGAGAGTATACAACTTAGTCGAGGGAAGTAGCAATCTGGGAGAAAAGGGGAAGAGAGAACATGGTGGGGGGGGGGATGAAGAGGACAGAAGAGAATAAGCGACAAAGGGAGACAAAAATGGCTAAATTCAGAAATGCTGGGAAAAAGAGGAATTTGCTGCATCTGTGTTTGGGTGAGCTGGGAGTGTACCTCCTGGGCAAGAGTTCAAAGCATGCCTTATCTAAGCAGATTGAGAGCTCTGGAATCATATCAGCCCACCAAACAGAAAATCCTGAGTTGTGTGTACGCTTTCAGTAGAGGTTTTCTACCGTTTCCCCCCACCCTGTATAAGAATCCAGGGAGCATTTGGATCTTCCTGTCTTTCGACATGCAAAGAGCTTATCCGCAGTTAATGAAACTCATTATAGATGATAGAATTACAACTGATAAGCATTGATGAAAGTAGCAAATTAGCATTACGTTGCACTTTTCTAATGTTTGTTTTCGTTTGCTCTTTTTTTTTTTTCCTCTGATATCAAGGTAGGGCACACTTTCAAACCTTCCTACCGGTTGGACAGGATCATAAAAATAGATGCTGGTCTAAATATGCTAATACTTTATAATTTTAAACAACAAAACACAGCTGATATTATGCTGACGTTTAGGATCTTTGAAAATTTGCAGAGATGTATAGGAATTGAGAGCATTACTTTATATAAGCACAAATCGTCACACGAATGTATTATGACCCAGTGAACACTCGATACAGTATTTACCAGCTTGTACCAGAGAGAGCTTCCATGAGCCTGGATGTGGGTTTAAAAGGCCCTTTTGAAAAGTGGGTTGTTCTGTATTTTTCCTTCAGTGTTCTTGGAAATTCCCTTAGCTGCTTTCATTTAATAAACCTGCCATCCGTTTTTGCTTTATGCTGTAAAAATTAAGATGATGATTGTAGGGCATGGGTTATAATAGCCCCAGGGCAGTATGTCACCTGAATCAGCACTCTTCCTCTTTGAATTGGTGTTTCAGTTCGAATTCGAGTGCCGGGCTCGTGGTGCTGACATCTTGGCTTATCCTCCTGTTGTTGCTGGTGGCAATAGATCCAACACCTTGCACTATGTGAAAAATAATCAACTCATCAAGGTAAGCCAAATCCTGTCCAGTTACTTAAAAAGCAGTACAGTGACGTACTGTCCCCATATGCGTCCCCTAGTGGTTCCCCGTTTTGACTGAACACATCAAAACACTTTAATGGATGCTTTCATGTGAGCAGACAAAAGGAATCCTGCTTTGGTTAGCTTTATTGTCAGTGACAGATAACTGCTCTTTCCAGTCTCTTTCTATTCTCTTTGCACTAGCTGCTGCTGTTTTCTGAAGAGTGGAAGGGCTTGCAGACAAGCTTGCAAATACTCCATTTAACCAGCATGTCTGCCTACGCCACGTGTTTCTGGTGTCCCTGTGTTAGCAGCCTGCAGCACTGGGTGGATTGCTAACCTCACAGAAGAGGGGGGCAACTGCAGCAGGGCAGACCGAAGGCACTTTGGGCACTTCTGCCGTCACTTGCATTGCTTGGCTTTGCTTTGCAACGTAAGGTGCAGTAACGTATTTCTTCTCTGGCTAAGCAGAAAAGCATTTCAGACTCCATGTAGCCTAGCAAAGCAGGGAAGAGGACTAAGCAGGGAAAAGAGGAACAGCATTAATTGTTGAGAGAGGCAGATTAGACGGTAGGTAAGTTAACATATCTGCCTTATTTTCAGAAGTTTGTATTCATGATTTAAATCTGCATCCAGCTTTCCTGACAAAAAATCTTCAGATTCGTATAGGTATTTTGAGGAGCAGTATTCCCCCATTGCTGTATTCATGACTGACTTTTCAGTGGAGCATGTTTTTCCTCTGCGTTAATGCAGGGTGAAGCTTTCCTGCTAGCATTGTCTTTTCTTGAAGCTGGCATGCTAGCAGACCTTGAAATGATCTGCACAGAGGCACATACATATGACAGGCTGCTTTTGGCAGAAAGAACCCTCATTTGTTGTACTGTTGTCCAAGGTCAAGCATGCTTGTGTAACTCCAGTTGCTTCCATTAAAGTTGCTTTAAATCCCTCTTACTAGTTTTTCAGAGTCTGGTAGGTAGGAGGTTAAACCCACAAACTTGACTCCTGCTTTTTTTTTTTTTTTTTTTCCTTTGTGTGCTGCCTCCTACAGATTTTGTTGTCAGCTGGCATAATAAAGTATCTAATTTGGAAGGTATCTCCAAGAGAGACTTTTCTCTTAAGATTTTCTGTGGCAGTGGGTGTATTGTGGTTCTAAATGCGCGTGACATCACAAGTATTGAGTATTGTCGTGGTAGTAGGGGTCCAACTCTGCTTGGCCCTGTTGTGCTGCCTCATCTTCTCTTGAGAGCTGAAGCAATGCTATCTTCAGGCCTCCTCTACTCTGGCAGAGAAGTACAAGGGTGTCTGGTGCAGCTTGCTGGAGTAGGAGATCCAGGGTGAATGGGGCTAGCGTTTCAGAGCCACAAACAGCTCAAGGGAGATGCTTCCTTTTACTCAAAAAAAAAAAAAAAAAAAAAAAAAAAAAAAAAAGTGTTCGAAAATCAGCATGTTAGAGTTCAGGCTTTCTAGATAATTAGAATAGTCAGAGACTACCTTGCAGAGAAACCATCCAACTGGAGGAGCCTATTTATAAACAGCATCACCTAGACATGCACCTCTGCAGTTGCTTTGCAAAAATAAATACATAATTTCCTTGCCTGATCTCAGGCAGAGAAATGAACTTGATAGCTGGACTGACTCACAGGGCATTTTTTCCTGTTCTTCTCCAGGATGGTGAACTGGTTTTGCTAGATGGTGGATGTGAGTCTTCCTGCTATGTAAGTGACATCACGCGTACCTGGCCCATCAATGGAAGGTAGGCTGCTGACACAAGGTGGTCTTGAAGGACTGTGAGAAGCTCTGAAATGATTAGTAGTTCATAATAAGAGTGTGCGTATGTAGTTTGTGTGTGTGAATAGTCTTAATATGTCCCAATCTATGGTTCTTTAAAGTTATCAAATTATATAAACCAGTCTTGCAGCATGAAGAGTTATATTCCCCACTGCCTCATTAAATTACTGCATGAACATGTGAGATTATTGCTATTTTAAGATACAGAGGTATGCGTAAGGTGCAGAGAAGGCTCTTGTAATTCTTCATTCAGCTGTTGCTAACTCTGGTTGGGTGTAAGGGAACAGGAGTTTAGGTGACCTGTACATGGCTGTGGCAGTTGTGAGTAAGCTGGTATAGTGTCCTTGTGGTTGTGTGTTTGATTCCAGTGTTTTTGCTCAAGCGCGTTCTTTTTCCAGTAATAGGTTTGCGCTGCTCTGCTTCGAGGTTAGGATGTCAGCCAAGTAATTCTACCTCTACCCAGCGTATGGAAGGGCTCGTTGCACTGATGTCTTGTCTGGCCTTTCATATAAGGAGCCAGTTGCTTTTCTTTCTCTCTTTTCCTGCTCCAGCATTGAACTGAGTCTGTCCCCAAAACAGCTTCTGGGTAGAGGGTTTCATTGTGAAAAACGCCCTTTGTTCCTTTTCTCACTGGTTTTTCAGGTTCACTGAACCCCAAGCAGAACTATACCAGGCTGTCCTGGATATCCAGAAGTCTTGCCTGAGCCTCTGCTCCCCAGGTGTGAGTCTAGAGAATATCTACAGCCTCATGCTGAGCCTTATTGGACAGAAACTGAAAGAGCTGGGAATCCTAAAGAGCAACATCACTGAGAGCCACTTTTTCAAGGTACCTGAAGTTTTTTTTTTTCTCTTCACTGGGACTGACTGTTGCCTCTTTAGGTTACATTAGTGGTTTACTTTGTATCAGGAGCATGCTCTTAAAGTGAATCTTCTGGTTGTCCTCATTTACTATGCTTTAATTTGTGTTATGGGCTGGTCTCAGCACAGGAGCTGAATTTCTTTTAGATGAAGCTAAACTGGAGGATATATTCCAACCCCTAGTGGGCATGAAGGCCATGCAGTATGGATGCTGGTCCCTCAGAACCTGCTATTTCACTCTGCAGTTCCATTCGCATTAGTCTGAGCTACTTGTTATTGTAGATACGGCTTTAGAGTACAGACAGCTTGAAGGGTCCAATAGAGAAATTGCCACTAACGTGAAAGTCCAGGTTCTGGGCTGACTGCAGTCATTCGATCCTAGTTTTGTGATATGTTTAACAAGGTATAAATCTGCACTGCCACCAAAAAGTGCAGCTTTGTCTTCTGTCTTTCCACCTGCTGCCTCTTCTGCACTTCTTTGGGCCAGCGTTGGGATTCACAGAGCTACTTGATGAACAGATTGGGGAACTGGTCTGCCTCAAAACTGGACCTGCAAATAAAACAGTGCTAGTTTGCAGTTAGAGGAGCTTCTGTGGTCCCACTCACTGCAAACCTGCCTGATTGCTGATGCCACACAAGAAGGATGGCAGGAACCAGGTGACAGAACTACCCTTTGGTAGCAACACAGATTTCTGCCAGATTTAATTGTCCTGCAGCGCTGGTAGAAGAACAGCACATGTCCCTGCTTGCGATTAGAAGCCATTCTGGTTTCTCTCAGCAGGCGGCAGCACAGCCAGATGAGACCAGCATCTGCAGTTCAGTCCGCAGTGAATGTGAGGGACATGGGGGCAGAGGGAGAGATTAGCTCTTGTGATTCCTGCTAAAAAATGGTGCCAGAGAGTCAGCGCCCAGGAGAGGTAGATTCAAATTCTGCAGCTTCTGAGTAAAATCAACACAGCATCCTCTCCGTAACGCACAGGAGACCTCTTGACCACATCACATAGCAGCTGTGTCAGCTGCTGCTGTTTGTCAGAAACTGTTGATAGGAGCAATGTGGAGCTGGGATGTTTAAGGGATGGAGAGGATTGAGGTAGCAAAGTTCAGTGAGCCAAAAGCTGGAGCCTTGCCTGGCATGTTGAGGGGGGTGATGTACTTGGGCTGCTCTTTTCAGTGAGGGGGGAAAGGTAATTTGCAGTTGGCTCAGAAGAGGCAGCCAGTATTGGTGGGTTTTTGAGGGCCCTCCAGTTCTGGTAAGTGGAAGACAGCCCCTGGTGACTTTCTAGTAATGACAGTGAGACTGCTAAGCATATTCCTCTGCTCTGTCTCTTTTGTATAGGAACAACAGGTTGGGCTGTGCTTAACTATCTCAGTGACGCTTGTTTTATCTTCTGCCAGGCTGTTCGAAAGTACTGCCCGCATCATGTGGGCCATTACTTGGGCATGGATGTACATGACACCCCAGATATGTCCCGATCGCTCCCACTCCAGCCAGGCATGGTGATAACCATTGAACCAGGTAAAAAGATAAGCAGTCGGTGCTGGACTAAAAACATGTAACGCTAAGGGTAACAATATCTCTTTGAGTAGTTAATTGGTCCTCTGACCAAAGCTTTCAAGTCCTTTCCTACAAAATCAAAAATGATTACAGTATTAAAAAACCTTAAGGTATCTCCCTCCCAAATGCATGATGGTATTGGAAAATGTTATTTCCTTCCCAAGTACAGCCAAGGTTACAGTCTGTGAGAGTGAGCTCTCAGAAGGTGTCTGTAGAGCAGAAAGCAGCCTGGCATACAGATCTCAAACTGCTAACGCTTAACCCGCAGGAGCACAGGTCAACTGCAGTGCAGAGAAGCAGGGTAGATTCACTTATGCTGTGGTATGTGTTACTGTGACTAAACTGCTACCAGTTACTGGTAGTGTAAGTCTCTCTTGAGTGCTGCAGTCTGCAATTATAGGCATTAACAACCTCTCTTTGCAAATGTGGCCTTTCACAATGAATCTTTCTTTCTGCTTGTCACTCGCTTTGGAGCTGTCAGCTGGAAACTGATATATAATGCTTGGATCTTCTCTTTTCCTGTTCAGATCATTGTTAAAATCATCTTTGTGAGAGCAAGAAGCGCAGAAAGGCCAGCTGTAATTGTGAAACTTTTTATTAACATGCTAGAGTCTGTACGCACTAAGAGACTTTCCTTTCTTTCTGCACCAACTGCCCCAATTGTGTGGAAAGCGGGCAGCTTTCCTTATTAAACTTTGGGTCAAGGTCTGTTAGGTTGCTGAAAATCCAGCCCTGCTCTCATGGCTGTGCAGTAAGGGAGAGGTGTTGCTCTAAAGAGTGCTGAGAGGGTTTTAATTCCCTCCCTTCTTTCAGGCATTTACATCCCTGAGGACGATGTGAGCGCCCCAGAGAGGTTCCGTGGCATCGGTGTGCGCATTGAGGATGATGTTGTGATAGCGGAGGATGCGCCACTCATCTTGTCTGCTGACTGTCCCAAAGAGATTGACCACATCGAGCAGATCTGTGGCCGCAACTCCTGATGCCCCTTCTTGCAACTCCTGATGCCCCTTCTTGCCTCTTGCACCCTCCTCAGGAGACACGGCCCTCCATTGAGACATGACGCTCCAGGAATGCAGCCCGTCTGCGATGGGTTGCAACCAAGCGATGGGTTGTGCGGACTCTTGATGGCTGCTTTGAGGCTGTGGGTCTGGAAGGTGGAATGGAAATAGCTCAGTCAGTGAGGACTGAAAAACAAAGCTGCCTTTTGTGTGTTCATCTTCCCTCTGATTTGGTTAGGGCTGGTGTTGAGCTGCTGTAGAAGGTGAGAGTGGTTTTGTGACCCTGCCGTGTGAATCCCTCTGTTTGGGTGCCCTTGGAGGGATGAATTTTGTCAGTGCCACCAGCAGAGCTTCTGTCTGGTCCCTCTACGCATGCATGGCTGCTGCTGCTGAGAACCAGAGCCCTGTTGTTTCCCCTTTAGCAATAGTTTCACAATGGTCAGATTTTAAAAGTGAAACTTTGAAAAATGCTGTTTTGGAGGAATAAGCTGTGTCAGACAGCTATGGTTTCTATAGAGCCCTGGAAGGGAGAGAATTGACAGTCAGGAAGATCTTCTCAGGAAGAGAAGATTTCTAGGCATCCTAGGGTTAACGATGTGTTTGGGGAAAAAAGCCTCATCTGGTCTTTCAGCATATTGGAGGACTTGGTAATTGTAGAAGGGACTGATAGAGCTCAGGAGGGTTGGACGTACCCGTTCTCGCTGCCTTCCACGTTCGTTTGTTTTTGTCCCAAATCTCCATTGCAGTCTCCTGTTCTGAACCCACCTCTACCCTAGGAAGCAGGGCTGTGCTGGCTGTGCTGGGCTTCACTGGCGAGCTTCTGGTTGTTGCCTACACGTGAGTTGTCCCATAAGGGCAAAACAGTGTCTGGGGCACTCAGCGCCGTTCTGGTTTTGCTGTAGCTGCCAGTAGTTTCAGCAATGCGTTTCTGAAGAGTCTGGGGTATGGTGAGTTGGAGGTCTTTACAGGGTTTTTGTGGAGTAATTTTCCTTTTCAAAACACTGTGGGCATGATCGCAGCTGCCTTTTGGTTTGTGCCAAGTGCAGTACTAGTGCTCTGTGATTATATTTTTGAAGAAGCTGCAAGCAAATGTAATTAGTGCCTGGGATGGATTAGGAATAAAGAGTTGAGTCCTCTCTCAATGTGAGACTACCACCCAGGCTGTTGTATGCAGTAGTAAATATACTTACTAGAGGCACACATGATGTTTGCTATTTACTGAAGGTATTTTGACAATCAACTTTTTATTTAACATAGTGGAAGATGCCTCTAATTAGTACATCTCCTGGTATTTATGCTTGCTTTTGCTTCACATCATCTTTTTTCCTCTCTGATTGTAAATTCCAGTCTTTTTCCTCAGTTATTGCCAGTTCTCCTTCTTATTATCTTCCTGTATTGTCTCTTTTTGGCCCACCATAATGTCAGTGCTTCCTAATCCCTGATCTTTCTAATCAGTGTCATTGCCTGTCTTCCTGTCTGCCTTAGTTCCCCACAGTGGATGTTGTCAGAAGCATGTGGGGAGGGTAGTCAGGGCTCCTGAGATCCCCTTCTGGCTCTGGTGCTGACTGTAACTTCTATCAAAATCTGCTTTTTTCCCCCCTCAGTGTTTCATTTTGCTTAGTGAATGCCACACAGACTCTACACTCTGGGTATCCTGCATCTCCCATTGCTTTTAATGGGAGACAGGTGGGTGTATGCACTAGGGTGTGAATTTGGCACTTGAAAGGCAGTCAAGACATGCTATTATTTTTTTAAGCATAATAAAAAGTAAATGCTTTTATAGAGTTTAATCTATCAGGTTATGCCTAGTTAAGAGAATCTGCTAATTTTTGACGGAAGTCTTTATTAGATGCTCATGTGTTACGGTACCAAGTACAGTATAAACTGTTGGAAGGAAGGCTCATTAAGTATGAAAACACAGGAGTGATTATTTTTGATGTTCTTTGGGTCTGTAACACATTGTTTGTTCCAATTACACGTATTAGAGCTGTATCAACCAGAACAAATCTTGGATTTTGGAACTATGTAAGCAGCTTAAAATAACATTATCCTGAGAGCTACACGTGTGTACTGAACTAGATATCTGCCTCTGTATCTGATTGCAAAGATAATGATTGTACTTACTGTAAATAAGCCTTTGAAATACATATGAAAAGTTTTTTTTTTTTTTTTAAATAAAACAATTCATAGAAAGTCATTTCGCGTTATTTTTCAGGGGGATGTATAAAATATGTGTAATTTATCTTTGACTTGAAATAACATTATCAAATGCAGGCACACACTAATTACTGGTCGCTCAGGAAAACCCTGCAACATGCAAACACCAATAGGTCTTAGGAACGTTGAGGATGAATGTTTTTGTCAGTAAAGAAATATTTGTGATTCTGCTGAGTGTAGAGTAATGGATCTGCTGGGGCTGCAGTGCCCCCCACCCTGTTAAGTGTGTCTGATTTAGGTTTGGAATTGCTCCACGTTCTGTAATTCTTCCACAGCGTTTAGCCGTTTCTTCAGCATGAACTCCTGCTAATGTTTTGAATGTGTTGTTCCATGTAAAGAAGAGTGCGTTTTGCAGAATATATTAAATTTGAGTTTTATCAACTTAAATATTTGAAGGCTTTTTCTCAATTGCTGCAGGTAAATAATCAGAGTACCATCTAGGACCTATACGGGTGTGACAGCGTCCCTTGAATATAATCCAATTCATGGATATTTTGTATGTCCTTCGTCAAGATAGTCTAAAGAATCCCTTCTCAGACTGCCCATAACCGTGACGTAGCTCCCTAATCAGCAGTCCTGTACTGCCCAGTTTACAGGCTGTCTCTGTCACTGAAGAGAGACCTTGCTCCAACCACTTGGGTGCAGGAGCAGCTCTCACTGGCCACACAAGTTGTCAGCTTCTTGACTAGGGCATTGGGAGGATCCCTGGAAGCGAATCCACTTCCGGATCCTAGCTCTGGAATCCACTTCTTCCCTTGGTTTGTAGGAACTTGAGTATGTATAACCCTAAGGCATCTCTTCTTGAGGCTTCTTGGTTGAAAGGAAATTGAGGTATACGCAAGCGCTTTTGAGGAGAGATTTTGTTGGAACTATGGCACAAATCTGAAGGGAATCGGAGTACGAGACAAAATGTTCAAATCAAAGCCAGCCATCCCTACAGAGAAGCTGCTTGGTGGTCAGAGGAAGCCCGGGAGGCTTTTCTTTGCATTCCCGTTCCCAGACCACCTGCTCTGTTCGCAGAGGACTTGTTGGTAATGGAAGTCCTGTTGTTACAGCACAGTCTGAGCAGAGGTGCTAATTTGTAGATATGCTTCCAGTGTCAACGTTGAGAGAAATCTGGCATTTAACACAATTTGGCATTCAATCTCTGTTATCTGTGAAAAGTACAGTATGTCTTTTCTAAAATTGCATCTATTATTTTGTGAAGGAATCTGATGGGGTTGGAAGGATGTGCAAATTGAGGGAGCATTCAGAAAAGAATGGAGATGGAGAATTTGGGAATGTACAATGCAGTAGAGGAGATTCCTGAGAAAGGCACAATTTGGGGGGATGTGTGGGGATGTGTGCAGGTGTATGAGAGAGCAAGCAGAGAACAGCAGAGTATAAAATGGCTGTTCAGCATGTTGTCGGAGCAGTGCAATAGCTATAAAACTAGTTTCACTAGCCAGGAGACCCCGATTGATTTGTCCTACTTGAGAGGGGGAACAAAGGAGGCAGATTGTATTGATGAACTTGGTCTTAACAAGTTAGTTTAATTATTTTTTTAAAAAAATCAATAGAATTATCATATGAGAAAGTTTTTTGCAGCTTTATGTTATTGATTATGTGTCATATTTTAAATAATGTGAAGGGGAAAAAGTACATTTCTAGACAAAACCTTCATTATGATGGAGGGAGCAAGGCTGAGGTTACATACTCTTATGCTACCCAAATTACTTCTATGGAAATTTAGTAATTACTCCTAAGAGAACTATTATAAAGCAAAGAGAGTTAGGGTTAATCTTAGAAAAAATCCATAAGAGAGAAATGACCAAAATGCTTTAATTATTATGAGATGCTTAATACTTTGTGTAATTGGATAACAAAACTCTGCGCTGCAATAAATTGACATTTTTTGATTTATTTTAAACTGAGTTGTAGAAGCCTATATAGGCATCTTTTCATTAGTATGCAGCATGCATAAGTTTACGTTTCTGAGATCATTTCAACATCTCTGTTACGCATGTTGCCTACATATATGCTTAGCTTCAACTTGATTAGAAATTGTCATTAGGGCACTGTCACAAGGCTGGCTCTAGCAGTGCCTCTGGCTTATGAAATGTATTGTATTTCAGAGGTGTAACAATATGTAATTTTAAAGCAGAATTTCTAATAGAAATTGATGGCAAGGCATGGCAGGCTCAGTGATGCTCCGTTTCTCCCCTCAACTCGCTTGACCTTCTCAGAGTTTGTCCTTCTGTTCCCTCTTAACTGTTTGCCAACTCCGAGCCTTCCTCACTAGCAGTAACTGGAGCAATGCCCGTCTTCCTGGGACAAGTCATGCCACAGTCCACCGGGTTGTTTCTCAAAAGCACCACCTAGTATTTTGCTAACCAAAACCAGACCCTTCTGAAGACAGACAGAAAGGTCTGTGTGCATTGCCGCCTTCTACTGACTCATACCACATACAGCTTTCTTTTAACTACCTTGACAGACCTGTCCATTAAGAAAGGCAAAGAAAAAATTAATTCCAATCTGGGTAAGCCTGATGCTTGCATCTGAGCAACGAAAAAGTAAATAAGGAAGTGGGTGTAGACCCAGGAGGGAGGATGGTTACTATAAGGCTCAAAATATGCTTTTCCTTGGACATCAAGGAAACAAGTAGGTGTTGCAGAAGTGACATGCAGGCTCAGTTTGGGAGCTTCTTGGGAACACAGGTGTCAGACGCTGTGGTGGGACAGGGCTGACTGAGACTGGTTGAAACTCTGCAGTGGTTCTCTGCTCTGAAGACCATGAAGAGGGAAGGGCTTTTTAAAGGAATCTCTTTTTTCATGATCCAAGAGAAGAAACACTGCGGCAGAAGTTGGGAACACTCAGCCTGGGGTTTGATGATCAAGCTCAAAGTGAAGCTGAGAGTGCAGCAAAAACTGCTTGAAATGCAATTACTTCCAGGGCAATAGGCTCAGTGCAGCTATGAGAGTGTCTGCTGCAGCTTGTGTCAGTAAACTAGGCCAGTGGGAGGGAGAGGCTTAGCCTCTGCATCCTGGGCAGGTCAAGGCTTCAGCCTCTGTGTGCACCTTTGAGAGAGTAATACAAAATGGGACTTGCCACCGACCCAAGTTAAGATTATGCAGTCTTACCCTCCAGGAAATAGTTAACAGACCTCATGTAACTTCTTATCATGTGAATCCTTTACTCCGAGAGGAAGTGGAAGTTTGGGGATAGTACGCTTTTCCAGTCTAACACGCACACAAAGTGCACATGTGTAGGAGCTGCAACCAATATCTCTGTAATTAATAGTATTACATCTCAGCTATGGACATGCAGCAGACCTTACAGTCATTTAGAAAAGGCATGGCTGTTAATGCTATAGCTAGCAGGGGTGGGTTTTTAAGCTTTGCCAGTGCTTGCCTCATTCCAGACAACAAAAACGGGTGGTTTTGATACTACCGATGAATACCCTTTCTTACCGCCTCTTGACAGACTGTGGTCACTTCTATTTAGAAGCCTTAATGAAGTTTGTCATTTGTGTTGGCCTCCCTATGTTGTAAAGTGCCATCAGGATCCCATTTTGATCCAGTAACTGCTTTGTACCGTTGTGTCCCAGACAGACAAGGTCTGATATTGGTGTGTCTGGGATTAGGGGAGTTCCCATCATGGGACTGAAACTGCGGTGTAGTCGGGTCTGGTTGTCTCTTCCTGCACTGTGTGTATGTTCTCTCAGCCCAGCTGCGCACATCTTCTTGCCCGCAGAGCGGGAGAGACTCAACCCCACAGACAGCTCAGAAATGCCCAGTCCGAAGCTTGCTTCCCAGGCAGATGCGCCCTGTCACAGAGGCCTTACATCTCCAACTGCCCTTCCAACTGTTTCTCTTCCGGACTTGCAAAGATACTAGTCTGCAGCCAAAAAAGCAGTAGCCTTCAGTACGCTTGTCGCACTGACCTATTGCTTGTCACGTTCCATAAGGTACTGCTGAGGTTCCTGTGATGCATTGCAGATGTCTGGTACGTATATTGCTTTCTAATTTATGCCTTACCCCATTCTTTCTCCAGGAGATGAGCTTTTTAACAGCAACATGGGTGTTACTGTGGCGACTGTAACCAGGCAAAAACATGCAGTTCATCTTGAGATAGTCTACATTTGTGAACTCAGATATGATTAAAAGATTGTTAAAGGCACACTATACTTTTTTTGCCTTCCCCTGCAGAACAGAGAAAGCTTTCTAACAAACTTTCAGTTACAAAATGGAAATGCATCATGCATCTTCAAAAGCATGTGTATTTTATATATATATATATATATGTATATGTGTATATATATATATATAAACATGCACATCTATTATGCACACACATGTTGTAACTTCTTGCTAGTTAGAGATTTAGAAGAGCTTTTCACCAAGCATAATTAGGATTGTTTACATGCTTTGACTCTGCATTTCTTATACTTTATTTGGATTTCTCAGTAAGCTTAATTTTAACTTTGAATTTCTAGGGTGTATATTCTTGGGGCCTTAGATAATTACATTATCTCTATAATATATTTCACAGTGATATAGCCTTAACTTTGCCTCCATCTTAAGATTTTTCTTCTGTTGTATGTCATTTCCCTGCCGTATGAGGCTTTTGAGGAGACAGCGTTCTGTGACTCTCTCCTGCCCAAAACAGTGAGAATGTGCAATCTGAAAGATGTGATCACTACTCTTGAAACTCTGAAACTGTTTACAGTTTCATGTAACGCGAGTTACAAACCCAAATTTATCATTCTAACTTAACTTCTTAAAAAAGAAAATAGAACAAGTGTAAGAATTAACTCAAAGGAGGATTGTAGTGCAAGTTTAAATATCTAATACAATCATCATGATAATCAGCATAATAATCTCAGCTATTAGATATAGAGCTGCTAATTTCTTCCAGTGTGCAACTCTCTCTCCCAAATTTCAGTGAATGTTAACAACGAAACCTGATAATCTGTTTCTCTAAGCTCATTTAAGACAAG